ATCTTTTATCCTTGTTATTCACCGAATTGTTAAACAAGGATAATGCATTATGCACATCATGAAACGGAATGCAGCCTGGGTCACGTGATAAAAATTGACGAATATCAAGCATCAATTTTGATCACGTAATCTATATTTGCCGTTGAAAATGAGCGTCGAGCGTCAGCATGAAAATGCACCTTAAGATATTACATAAGACGGTCGTAAAATAAGAACCAACTGTGAATTCCGACCATACACCACGTGTGTGCACTGCGCAGGACTTATTGTTAGTACTCTCAGGAGTAACAAGACGGCGGTTGCATTTATCAGATGTTTATAGTCTGTGAAGCAAGTAGAGCGGATTGTCGTCTGCCATAACATAACGTACCTAACCTTGTTAAGTTCTCAGACGCGATAGTAAACAAGTGAAATAGTTTCATCAAGCAATTTCTTCAAGTAAGTACCTAATTAAGATTTATGAGGTAACCTGTATATAACCTTTCTTTGCTAAATTGATAAATTATCTTTAGGGTAATACTCAACTGCTCTAGTGCCGCAATATACGAATTGTTTTTTTTTTTTTTAATTCAATTGCATTTTAACTTGGAATATTACATTTGCCGAAAAAAAAAAAAAAAAAAAAACAGGAGACACGATTTTCTTTGCATTGCAGAGTATTCTACAATGTCCGAGAACGCGAACGAAGCGGCGCCGGTCGAGAAAGAGACTACCGTGGAAGAACCGGATACCATCTCGGAAAAGGACCGGCAATTCTTGACTGAGTATGTGCGAGAAACAGAACAGAGACTCGCGACGAAGGAAGAGATTCGCGCGGCCAATCTTAATCCCGCAAGGCCCCCGGATGCATCATTCAGTAAACTCGACTCGAGCCTCAAGAAAAACACTACATTTGTCAAGAAACTTAAGAACTTTAGCATGGCCCAACTCGACACAGTTTTGAAAGACATGGCGACTTTAAACTTGACCAAATACGTGAGCGAAGTTGCCACCGCTCTGGTGGATGCTAAAATAAAGATGATTGACGTAGCACCTGCTATTAGGGTATGTAGTTTTCTCCATCAGACGTACGCCGAATTTTCCACTCATTTTTTTGAAAATTGGCAAAGGATACTGTCGCTGAAGGTAGGCGACAAGATCGCAAATCCTAGCAAGCTGAGAGTAGATTTACGATTCTATGCAGAATTGGTAAATGCTGGAATATTTACGCACAAGCAGGGTTTGCCGCTACTTGGCTCGATACTAACCGTATTGATCAATATGGACAAAGAGGAGCATAATAATGCTAGTATAATATTGAGTTTTTGTCGACATTGTGGCGAAGATTACGCTGGTCTTGTACCTAAAAGAGTCCGAGAACTGTCTGAGAAGTTAAACATTTCAATTCCAAAGAGTAAAATGTTATCACCGGATAAGCAGCAGAACGTCAAGCTGTTGTTGCGTGAGTATTACAATTCCTTGTGCAAGCATATGCTGAAGGAGCACAAGGAGTTGCAGGCATTCGAGAAACAAAATCGCAAGATACTGCAGACTAGGGGAGAACTGAGTTCGGAACGAAAGGAAAAGCTTGAAGCTCTGCAAGTCAGTTATGAGCGTTTATTAACCAATGTACAGAGCTTTTCCGATACGCTAGATGAACCGATGCCCGAGCTTCCAGTGGACAATGAAATAAAGGCCGAAGTGGAGGAAACACTGAAGATGATCAATGAGGGAGAAGAGAACGCTATGTTGGAGGATATGTGGGGCGACGAAGAGACAAGACGTTTCTATGAGATGTTCCCGGATCTGACTGTCTTTTTACCAGGCTCTTATTTGAAGGACACCCCGAAAGATGTCCCGAAGACGGACACAGCAATAACGGAAGATGCTCTCGATGAGGAAATTGTCTTCGACGAGTTGGAAGAGTCTGAGAAGGTCGAAGAGCCACCTGAGATAGAAGTGGAGGAGCCTCAGATTTCTAACACGAGTAACAAGATACTGTTGGACGCTTTTCTGACGCATCTGCCGAACTGTGTAAATCGCGAAATGATTGACAACGCCGCAGTCAACTTCCTGATTAATCTCAACACGAAGCACAACAAGAAGAAGCTGGTAAAGGCTCTTTTCGGCGTTTCTAGAATCCGTCAGGATCTACTACCCTTCTATTCTCGCTTAGCAGCCATTCTTTATCCAGTAATGCCAGAGATTGGCAACGACTTGTGTCAGATGTTGAAACAAGATTTTAAATACCATGTTCGCAAGAAGGATCAGATCAATATTGAGTCGAAGATCAAAGTGGTCCGCTATATCGGTGAACTCGTCAAGTTCAAACTTTACTCCAAAATAGAGGCATTGTACTGCCTGAAGGTTTTATTACATGACTTTACGCATCATCACATTGAAATGGCTTGCAACTTGTTGGAGATTTGCGGCCGATACCTCTTCTGTTCGCCGGATTCTCATCAAAGGACCAAGGTCTATCTGGAGCAAATGATGCGCAAAAAAGCAGTTACTGCACTTGATTCGCGCTACGTCACGATCATCGAGAATGCGTATTACTTCGTGAATCCACCCGAATCGACCGGCGGCGTTACAAAGAAGGACAGGCCGCCTGTACATGAATTTATTAGAAAATTACTGTATCAGGATCTCTCCAAGACGAATACTGATAAGGTGCTCAAGTGGATGCGCAAACTTGACTGGGAGGACGAGAGCGTGTCATCCTATGCTATAAAATGTCTCACTGCCGCCTACAATGTTAAATATCCCAATATTCGATGCGTGGGTAGCCTGTTGGCCGGCTTGGTGGCTCATTATGAGACCATCGGGCCACAGGTGGTCGACGGTGTACTCGAAGATATACGACTATGTATGGAAATCAACCTGCCCAAATTCAATCAACGACGCATTGCTATGGTCAAGTACTTGGGCGAGCTATACAACTATCGAATGGTAGAGAGCGGCGATATTTTCCGTACCTTGTACTTGCTTATTACTTTCGGCGTCAGCGTGGACCATTCGTTGCAAAGTGTACTCGATCCGCCTGATCATCTCTTTCGTATTCGTCTAGTGTGCACATTATTGGAGACTTGTGGCCAGTACTTCAGCGGCGGATCAAGCAAGAAAAAACTCGATTATTTTCTCGTATTCTTCCAAAACTACTTCTGGTTTAAGTATACAGACCCGATCTGGACGTCCGAGAATCCGTTCCCCGTTGGGATAGATTACATGTATCGTGACACACTAACGATGCTACGACCCAAAATGCAATTATTCCAGAATTACAAAGAAGCGCAATGCGCCGTGGAAGAATTGCGCAACACCCTCTATCCAACCTTGGGTAATCCTCCGGTTGATGACGCTATCGCGGAAGGTGAAAACGACATGGGCGTTATCATGGAAGGCGACGAAGAAGCAGCATTGGCCGGAAATGGTAGCGGGGATGCCAAAGGTATGGCTGAACTGCATTTCGAAGAGTCCGAAGATTGTTCGGAAGCACAGTCAGAAGAGGAATGGACAGCCGATGCAGAACGAGACGACACTATGGGCACCCAAGAAAACACTCAGGGTGATCGATCTCAGAGTCTGTCGGCAGACGGTGGCACTGAAGGCGTGATTGTAGACGTGACAGAGGAACTGAATGCAGCTTTACCGTCCGGACCACGACGGGTGAGCTGTCCGGAGGATGATGATTTCCTGTCGGCGCTGGATAAAATGGTCTCAGATAACATACAGGACCGCATGCGAGATTCGGTAAAGCCGCAACAGGTGGATATCTCCGTGCCGTTACACGTGAAGAGTACAAAGAAGACATACGAACAACTGCAGGAGAGACCAACCGACAATAGCACAGTAGACTTTGTGTTGATGCTGAGGAAGGGTAACAAACAACAATACAAGAATCTTGCGGTTCCGGTGTCATCTGAGTTGGCCATGAATCTCAGAAATCGCGAACAAGAACAAAAAGAAGAGAAAGAGCGCGTGAAGAGACTAACTTTAAACATTACTGAGAGGCAGGAGGAGGAAGATTATCAAGAAACTATGAATCAGAGCACGAGACCGGTCACCGTAAACTTGAATAGGGAACGACGACAAAAATATAATCACCCTAAAGGAGCACCTGATGCCGATCTCATCTTTGGACCGAAGAAAATTCGATAAGCTCGAATTAATAATTAAAATCGAATGATTGTACTCTATTGAAAAGTTGACGATGCTGTGAAATGGAACTTCACACTTTAGACACACGTTAACTATGTTATTAACTAACTTTGGTTAGTTTTACCGCTTTGTACTATCTCAGAATTTTTTCGAGGGCGAACGCCATATGTCGCATCAGAATTTGAACGAATGTATTATATGTACAAATGACGCAAGTTGATTAGCAAATTAGCATTTAAACGAATCGTCTTTAAGACTGATACAGTAAACCCTCTCATTAAAGAAGTCAGAATAACTAACTTCGATATATGTGTATTATGAAAATTTATTTCCCCCTGATAAAATATATTTTTTAATAAAAATATATTTTTAAAAACATATTTTTAAAAATATATTTCTCATTGATGAAAATATATTTTTTTAAATTGATCAATATGGATTATTACAACGCACTGCCGATTAATTATGTGCAGAGTTTACTGTATCATATATGCACTTTTAAAGCAATTAGATATGCATATATATATATATCTATCTATCATGATAAATAACTTTTTGTCTGTCGCGAATGTTGTTACTAGATATTTTTACAACATACTTATAGTCAAATCGTTATTTTATGACTTTCAACGAAAGATACGTTGTGATAGAATATATAATCAATTTATATACTTATCTATAATATTTTTAACATGATTCCATACCTTATTTAAAAAAATAAAATGTTCTTTTTTTCCTCCGCAGATTACGAACGGTAAATAAATAAAATTTACAGACTGTATCAAACTTTCTATTGAAAAGAAAAACAAAATAAATAATGAAACTCAACACACATTGATGTACAATTATTTATTTTTATCTAGGAAATTATCGCCATGTACAAAATGAATATAAATAAATGTATTAGGTGCTTTAACGTTTGATACGGCTCCGTAGTAAGTTTTGCATTAACGACGTCACGTATATCTACCGAAATACATATATGAAATTGATAAACATGTAAATTAACACTAAATGCACACATCTGCACCTAATCATCGCCTCTTACGGATCTTCTTCCGCGTCTTCAAATTGACCCGCTTCGATGTCCATAGCTTCTTCTGCCTCTGCTCCTGTGTGAGTGGTCCCCATTTGCTCTGTTAATAATAAAAAACTGGGAATCTATTGTTCGATATATCGACATTCAATTCATTTAATATTTATTTATTTAACACGAATTTCTTTTACAGTGTAAACTGATAACTATACATTACCATATTAAACGTATTAGTTCATTGCGCTATTTAATCTAAGTTTAAACTTGAATAATATATATAAAAATAAGTATACAAATTACCTGTCGGTAAAATACAAGGCGCATCCCCAGCGCCCACTTCTTCGTCATATTCACCTTCGTAATCTTCTTCGGCGTCTTCATAGATATCCTCTTTAATTATAGGAATTTTTAATCATCGCAGTCGATCGGAAATAAGATTATCATCTCTTATTTCTAATTACTTACCGTCAGAAAAACTGTCCTGTGGATCAGGATGAAGCGCTTGGCACGCACTCATTGCTTGAAACATTAAATCTAAATTATTTGTATTATCTGGCGCAAACTGCATTTCCGTAATTGGAGGATCCGCATTGTCATCATCGTTTTCTGAACCATTTTCAGATGCTAACGGTAATGGCATATCTGTACAAATAAAATTATACATTAAGCTTATTAGAAAAATCTTTAATTATATAAAAATATTAATGAATTAGAGAGAAATCAAAGTCGATCAAAAAGTCTATAAAAATTAAGTCATTTTTATCAACAATATTCTTTGTATTCCCCAAATAATGTACCTGGTAAATCTACTTTGGCATCGACCATAATGTATAAACATTGTCTTGGATGGACTTGTTCATCTCGTGAAATAGCGTGTAATGAAATGTGAGGATATTCAAGTGAAAATCCTTGTTGTGTATCGTTGTCCACCCAGGAGAGCACGCTGCCAATAAGAATACGTAATTAGAGCTTACAAAATATCTACAGATTATTCGTAATAGTAAATTAGAATAAACTCGCTACCTCTCTGTAACGTAGAACGTGCCCTTTCCTACTTCTCTATCATTGATATATACTGTAGTATTTGGCTCCTCATGGCGTATTCCTTCCTGCGGTGGCAGCAAGCTGCTAAGTACCACCATTTTTCAATCTGAAAATACAGACAGTGTTTCATAGCAAAACAAATATAATTGATCGATGTTTGCGATCATAGATCGTTGTTGCAACAATGATGCAATAACGGTCTATCAAAGCCAGCAGCAGTTATCCAGTCGACACCAACTAAAAATAACATAACGTCAATTTTATAATTTTATATTCAACAATATAACCGTTACGTAGCTCTATGTATTTATATTACATTTATATTGTTGACAAAATTATAACATTGATCATGGATACGTTTAGTTTTTTGCTTACAGCGCTTGTAAGCATCATTTGTTCTTGTTTAATATTTGATAAACAACAAAGATGAACTGATGGTTACAGAGTGTGAACATAAAAACCGAAAGCATCCATTATGTTACTTTTAATTGGCGTTAACTAGATAGATTCTGTTTTTCTTAATAGCAATCTTGTTATTATCGTTGCACAAGTATATATAGTAAAAAAATCTATGTAACATGTAGTAAAATGTGTATATGTAGTAAAAAATCTATATAATAATATAACGACAACGACATTGTCGCTAGGAGTTGCAGAATCTAGCATGAGCAGAATTACGAGTCTGGTTCCACTTGCATCGCGCATCTATACACATCATTAATATACATAGACGTTACGTAGAAAACAAAACAAAGTAAATATATGATAAGTATCGCCGATACTGGAGCGACATGGTCCAGGGCAAAAGCCGTACGGAATCATCCTCGACGTGCGCTGTCAGAGCGCTTCGCGTATAAACACTTGGTGAAAACACGGTGATCGCGCGTGAGAACGAACGACGGATCTCCATTCTGTGCTCCAGAGATCCGCGACTCGTAAACACCGGTGTCACGGCCATCCGGCACTTTCTAACCAAACGACAGAACTCACCGTTCTCGTTTACTCTGACGAGACAATTGTCTACGAGACGAACCGAACGCGAACGTTCGGCGGTGGAGGTGATGTCCCTCGCGACGTACGCGGAAGCGGATCCCCGAATACTCGCACTCGTCGTCGTCAATGGTCGTCGAGTACCACAAACGCGGCTGTCACAAATTGTCTGAAGTTGCCTACGAAGTGCGACACTCGCGACGTGTTCTCGACGCGCGCGCGCGCGTACGCGAATCTCCGTTCGACCGACGGTCGCGTGCCACGTCTGGTTAACATTGATATCCGTTTCTATCAATGTGGATTAACTTTAATCCCGATTTAACTTAAGTACTTTTCTTCTTTCGCTAATTTTCAAAACTAGAAAAAAAAAAAAAGAGAAATTTGAACCGAGTTAAAGTTGATCTACATTGGTAAAAATGGGCATAAATCTTCTACAAATTACGCGTAAAAAAATTATGCTTTGCAAACTTATAATATGAATTCGGTCACCTGCGCATTACATTTGATTAGTGCATACTAAAAGCTATTATACATAAAATTAGCAAAGTTAAATATAAAAGCATAATAAATATTTTAAACGATTAAGTACACAGCTATGAATAATCATATTATTTAGCAGAATATATATGCATTATTTCATTGTCAAAATTGATTTTGTATTATGTCATTATGCTACTGTATTTAGATATGTACTTTATATAAAAGCAGCCTTTATTAAATGTTTATTAAGTGTTCGGTATAATGTATAATGCGAGTGATTGAATTCGCCATTATATTAATTTTGTGACAATTTAATTACGACGCTACGTTCCGTTTGAATATCTATTTAAATATAGGGTGAGTGCAAAAATTCGTGCCCGATTTATTATTCAAAGTTCAAACAACTGCAATTTTGTTAAAAATGAACGAAATTTAAATTTAAAAAAAGAAGTTTTAAAGCTAGAAATCTCTATCCCAGACAGCACACAATATTTATAAAATATTTGTAAAATTTATTTTAAATATTTTGTAAATATTTTTGTGGTCTTAGATTGCACAGATCATAAACATTTATTATAAATAATATGAAATATTTATTGTAAATATTATAGTAAAATGCTGTAAAAATGCTTAATGATACATTATAATCCAAGTAAAAAACATTTTTTAGAAATATTTTTTTATTCATATTTATCATATATATTACATAAAATATTTGGGTCTATATTTTAATAATATTTCGAATAAAGCTTTATATAAAAAATATGTATGAAATATTTATATAACATTTAAAAAAATGAATATTCATAAATATTTTCATAAATATTCTGTGCTGTCTAAGTGGGATTTTCGAATGATTACTATATTTTTTGAATTTATGTAAGTTTTATAATTTTTACATATAGAAAACTGCGAGTCAAACAAAACGGGAAATTTTTTCTTCATTTGCGGGCCTGTCATACGTCCAAAAAAAATTTGCAAATATTTTTAAATTTCTAATGTAAAAGCTTAAAGTTTTTCCTATAAAATCGTTTTTACAAAATGTCTCTATGATTTTTTGTTACTGAGTTGTTGCGAATTAAATAAAAAAAATATTTTGACTTTTATTGCTCATAACTCCGTCAAAACCATCACAATTTAAAAAAACAGATTCTTAAATTCTCTCATTAGATAGAATAAGATTTAGATTTTATTTCATTTTTGACAAAAATAGCAGCTGTTTGAATTTTGAATAATAAATTGGGCACGAATTTTTGCATTCATCCTGTACATGCATTATATTATATATGAAAGCACACGCGATATCTATTTAATTCCCTGAAAAACATCATTATAGTAAGCATCAAATCAGTTCATTACTATATATACCTTCCTCTCTTCTCAAAGAGAATCACAGATCAGCTAGCACAGACACAAAAAAATTTATTTTATCGCAATGCATTATATAAATCAAAAAATAACATCGTAATTTTATATATTGCGTCTTATTTTATATAATACAAGTTCATTCGTACGTTTCATGTAACACATCTACATACAATACGATATGCTTAGACGGGGCGTAGCGCGATTCCGCATTGCTATTATTGATGCGCCATCGCACGCGCGGCATAGCGGAGTCACGTTGCCGCGACGCGGAATCGGCGGAATGCGGGGAACGACGGTCGTTTATTTAACGTTGCAGCCTTGTCGCACGGCGCCGTTTATATGGAACGGAGGCGATGGAACTGACGGAAGCAAACGTGTATGGGGATCGTCGCGTGGAAGAGGCGCGACCGTCCGTAAATCTGACAGTCTGATTACAGATCTCATCATCCCCAGTAGAACACAGAAGTGTTATAATAGGGAGCTTTCCAGCAAGAAACAAATTGACACAAGAATCATCTTGTCCTTGGTCGATAATCAGTACTCAGACACATAATATTTATAAAATATTTACCAAATATTTATAAATATTTATAAGATTTATTTTAAATATTTTGTAAATATATATTTTTTGTGGTCTTAGATTGCACA